ATTAAAATACCCCCAAAAAACTGTTTAACTGCCAAATTTTTTAAAAGAATCTTCAGTCATACATTTGAAGTATTATGAAATATATTACAGTTATACATTTGGTCTGTATTATGAAATATATTAAAGTTTTAAAAAATAAATTAAATCGTAGCATTTTAGATAAAAAAAAAAAAAAAAAAACTGGAATTGTAATACAGCCTATTTTATTTTGGTTATCTGCAAATCTGGTCTGGTACTTTATGAGAAGCTGAATATTGGAACTAAATGTCCTAAAACAAAACAAAATTTATCTATTTTAGAATGTTATATGACATTGACTTTTATATTGGATTAAAAAACGGAAAACATATTAAAAAAAAATTATCCCACTGGTAATTATGCACAAATAAAAATGGTAATAGGGTTAAGTGCCCAATTTTGCGACTTTGTTGCGTATAAATTTAAGGGAATTGCTATCAAATTAACACCTTTTGAAAATCAGTTCTTTTTTGAATTAGTTACAAAATGAAATAATGATGTATTAATCAAGAAATAATGTTATCCATATAAAAGATATTTTATTTTCGATTTCGTTTTTTGATAAGTGTTGGGAAAACGTTATATAAAAGACAAGTGACTGTCCATTGTTGGTTATTTGACCCATTAAAACGTTGAACAAATTTTTTGATTTATTTGGCGAAACACTTTTTTTCTGCGACTAGTCCGTTCTACATCAACTCATGAAGATGCTATAGTTTGACTTTCTGTTACACCTTCTTTACTTGGCTGTAATTGTCCGTTTATAAAAGAAGGTATATTTAGTTTAAAACTGATTGTTTGTTATCTCAGATGATAAACCCACGATTGGCCGTAACTGAATTATTTTCTGTTAATACGACAACTTTGTTTACTTTGATTTTAACTCTGTTTATTAAATTCAACTTTTATACAGAAACAAAAATTCTTGAGGGCGTAATTTTATACGAAAATAACTTATGACTTTATGACTAATAAATTACATCAATTAACTTTAATAATATTATGAAAAGAATTTTATAAGCTTAACAATAAAGTTTTAAAACGATCAACTATTATTACATCACTCCAAGAATTAAAGTTCTTAAGTAACATAGTCATTTAAATATGTCGGCTTTCTCTTTCCTCTGGTTGATCGTCTGATCGCTGATAATGTATTATCGAAGACTTCTCTCTAATCAGTTTCCTCTTCAACGTCAACAACTGTTTTTTCGGTTCCTTCTTCTCGTGCAGCAAAAATGTCTAAATCTTCTTAATCACTTTCATCACTGTCAACCTTTTTATAGATAACAATTTTACTTAAAGCTTGAAGTATTTATACTTTGCATCAGCGGGGCGAACATAAACTTTTTCTCCAATTCTATAAGTTTCCATAATCGTTGCGATTTTTCTTAAGTTTCATTGTTTTCCTCCTCTTGAATTGGTAGACGCCAGGCGTACTTATTTTTTTGAGAAGCAGGCGCAGATTTCTTGTGTCCTATTGTTGGTGTTGCTTTGTACCAAAATACTGCTTGTAATGGACATATTTGCGCTCTTCCAGCTGATTATTTCACTGTGCGGTAGTTTACGTTCCACAATCCCAATTATATACACATCAATATATCTTTTTTTAAAAAACCATTTTTCACATATGTTTGAAAATTCACTGGATCTAAACACCGCTCCATTGTCCATCAACAGTTCTTGCCGTGGGCAATGCTCCCTAAATACGGATTTCCAATTGACTTAACACACTATTTTGGATTCTTCGCGAGGCAACTTTCTCGAAACTGCAAACCGATTTGGTCCACAGTCAATCATTATTATATATGGCGACCCTTTATAGTAAATCACATCGTAAGCGATACGATACCATATGTCTGGTACATCTAGCACTCCATTTTCCCATTTTATTGGTGTTGGATCAATTAATTGCGCCCACATTCTTTAACGTCTTTTCTTACTACGTGCAAAAGTCTTCATTGCACTGTAAACATTGTCCAAATAACGCCAATATAATGCTTTGTGTGACAATTACGAATTTCTTCAGTAATACTTACTCCACTTTGTTCTCTGGCATTTCTTCAGGAAAGCTCATTTAAACCATTCTTAGTAACTCTTGTCAACACATCAGCTTTGTTTTTTGAGAACGGAACCAATTTTAATACGCGTTTATATTGTATTCTTTTATTAAGTCTTGCAATAGGAAAAGTCTTCTTTTAAGAAACATATCTGATAATCCATTTGATCGAACCCTATAACTTTCAGTCAAAATAATTTTTAAACGTCGATGAACTGTTACTGAATCAATAAATACTGATAGTTTCTTTAAATCCCACTAAGCAGCTAGACTTATCCCACGCACCAAAGCAACTAATTCAGCAATATTAAATGCATGGCATCATTTGTATTTAGAAGCCAGGCTGCATCTTCAATTATTACACCATCGTATTCTATAGCTACCCCCATTACTATGCCGCTAGCATCACACCAAAATTTTATAATGCGAACAGACAGTGCGTCTTCAATAAACAGCGGAGTGATCAATGAAAGATCGCTTATCTTTTGCAACTCTCCTACCAGTTTGATCTTTTTTAGCCACACTGAAACATCTTCAGATCCATCTAATTGTCCAATCATTTTCGCCATGGATGCTATACTGCCAAAATAGCTTGTTAATACGACAACTTTGTTTACTTTTACTTTAACTCTGTTTATTAAATTCTATTTAGACAACTTTTATACAGAAACAAAAAATCTTAATGGCGTATTTATATACGCAAATAGCTTATGACTTTATGAGTAATAAATTACATCAATTAACTGTAATAATATTATGACAAGAATTTTATAAACTTGATAATAAAGTTTTATAACGATCAGCTATTATCGTATTTTCATGCAATAGTTCTTTTTTAAGAAAACTCGATCTTACAACAATATCTTTATCAGAAATAGATCTATTATAAAGTTGACTTTAAAAGGTTATAGCTCCTGATGCATTAATACCTAATAATCCTTTGTGAGTTACATCATATTTATTATTGGAGAATAAAGCACTCTGCTTTCTAAGTGATGAAGATTTTTGACAAAAGAGTTTAGTTAAATCATTTATGTATCTTGTTGAAGGAAATGTCATCTTGAAGTTTTCTATACTTATCAAATTTTTAAGGTGAACGCCAAATAGGAACACTTCCCAATAAAAAATGTAAAAAACTTGTCCATGATATTAAATAAAGTGATGTTGTAGATTTTGATATTTTGAATAACCAAGACGTGTGAAAAATTGTAAATCCATTTTTAAGTCATTCTAAAACATATAAAACTAATCTTATATAGTTTATTTTGGTTTTGGACCGGATTTTTCTTCATTGACTAAAATATAAATATTTTTGGATAGCGATGAGTTGCGATATTCAATATATTCAACAGACAATTTTTTGTCTGTTGAAAGATTTTTATAACTATGAACATATTTTCTTTTATTGTGATTTAATTGACTTTTTATTATTTTGAGGTTCAACATAGCGCATAGATTTTAACTCTTCTTTTTCTTTTTCACATAAATCAATTTTATGTTGTAGGTTGCCACAACATTAACTTCTTTTTAGAGTGCTGTCAACCTTAAAGTTAATTAACAGTATGTTGTTATTAGTTTTAATGTCTTCGTTTTTATAAATGTTTTCAAAAATTTGAAAAAGTTTTCTCTTTCTAAGAGAAGACTTTTTTTTACATCAGTTTACTTATTAGATTTACAATGAGATAGAAATTCTTCGTTTTTTAGAGTTTTTAGCCAATATTTGTTGATAATTGAATATCTTCAACTTTAAAATCAAGCTCATATACTAAAGTTGTATCCTTTATTAGGACTTTGTCATTCCCTACTTTTGTTCTAAACTTAGAAACAATTTTAGACCACTTACCACGACGAGCAGTGTCCTTAGGAATTTTCAATAACCCAATGCCTGACTTGATTCCTTTAGAATCGTAAAATGCACTTTTTCATTGTCAAATACTGCAATAAGCTCCACTGCCTCGAAATTCAAGTTTTTCAACTTTTTTTGAGTAAAACAGGAAAAATAACACATATTTAAAAAAAATAGTAACAATTACTAAAATTCAATATTCACATTTTATCATTGTCCGAAAACATTACGTCATTGGAGTGCAGGGTGTGTCTATTGATACCTTCAATGATTGGCACACTTATACTATTATTCGGATTTTTGTTTCTTTTAACCCCATCAACAAAAAAGTAAACCTATATCGAATAATTATGTACTTGATTGCTTATAAACTGCCTCAAATGTACAAATGGACAGTAGTACCATGTTCAACTATTAAAACGTCCTAGGTCTATTTGAGTTTCTAGGGAACTGTTATTCTATAAATTTTCCTGGTAGGTACATATATATATATATATATATATATATATATATATATATATATATATATATATATATATATATATATATATATATATATATATATATATATATATATATATATATATATATATATATATATATATATATATATATATATATATATATATATATATATATGTACCTACCAGGAAAATTTAAATAAATAAAATATATATATATATATATATATATATATATATATATATATATATATATATATATATACAAACATGTTTGTGTATCAATATCGGTATATCGGTTAAACAAAATTTGGTTAAAACACTCTGCCTTACTTGTATATCAATATTTATTGATTGATTTGAGTTATTAAACCACAAACTCTATCTAATAAAAAAATTTTTAACGCAAAAACATTTACACAGTTCCGCTACCATACGCAGAGTTTTCATGCTGAGTAGCAGAGGAGTATTCCAAAACGCGCTGCCGCGCAGCGATGCTAAATGCTAATCTTGCTAGTGATTTTTAGTAAAACAGTTAATTTAATTTTCTTAAAATTTATCTTAGTCAAAAAATAAATTGTGAAAAAAAATATACGAATGAAACTTTTTTTTTTTTTACCGAAATGTAGCGAGGGTAAGCAAAGAAAGTCCTAATCCTAACAACGAAACTCCACAACCAATATATGCAATTATTTTTAAAGCCAGTGGGTTATCGGAATTTTGGTTAATATCAAGTAACACAGCAAAATTAGTTAGGTGATCGCAAGAGCATGTAAAAAAATCATTATTTATTTCACTTTCATTTCTATAGCAACCAGTTGTTAGCCACTTTCCGTAAACATTCGCAATGCCAGTTTCTTAAAAATAAAAATTAAATACACGAAAAAAATATAACAAGTTAATTTTAAATGATTTAAAAAAAAACCGTTTTACTAAATAAATTTACCAACGTTTTCATCCCAATATTTACAGCTGCTGGTACCCAAACTTTTGTGCGTTTTTTTAAATTTTATAACAATTGGGTTACTTAGATTAGAAACATTCCTATTAACAACAGATGCAGATAGAATTGTACTTTGAAGAAATCTTTGATTAAATCCACGCATTTTTACAAGTTGTATTAAGTAATTTTCATCCAATAAAAAGAAATCGTAGCGGAAAAAGTAGGAATAAATAACTTCGTTTTCATCGTAAAAAACATCACTCGGTAGTGTCATGACTACGTATGCTTTCTTTATGAAACCAGCGTCGTTGTTAAAACTGATTTTAACACTATTGTCTGGTAACTGTTGTGCTGATATTATTATATTTCCTTTTTCAACTTTTTTGATATGGAATCCAATATTGATTTTACAAAAAGAAATGGAATTGTTTAATTGTTTTGAGAAAATTAGAGCAAACTCTGTGAGTATTTTCAAAATTCTTGTTGAGGAGAAAGTTTTAATTTGCGATTCTGCAATAAATGTCACATTTGAATCCAATACATTGTCAATAGTTTGTAAAACATCTATGAAAACCTATGGAAAAAAAAAATAGCAAAAATTGAATTCAGGCAAAGTTCTCTTATCCAACAAAAAAAATAAAATGAATAAATATAAAATTAAATGAAAAAAGTAAAAAAAAAAAAAAAAAAAAGATAAAAAAAAAACAATCATGAAATAATCTAGTAACACCAGTTCGTGTTTTTAATAAGAAATACTCATATCTATATTTTAAACTTTAATATAAACTTTTTTCGTTTTATTAATACCCAAAATAACAAGAAGAAAAAGCGGAAGAGGCAATTTTATAAAGTTTTTTGAAAGTTTATTATCCTAAAATAGAAATCAGTTTAAGTAGTAGGGAAAAAAATTGCTTTTGAATTATTTTTCAAAAATAATTTGACATTATAAGAGGTACACTTATTGGTTTTATTCTTGCATTTAAAGCAGATAATCGTTGTTATTTTGGTAAACCAATATACATTAGTTAGTGGTAATTGTTTTGTAAGCAATTAATATTTTTTATATTAGGAATGAAAAAGTATTCATTTAGTTTTATCAGTAAATAATAATAGTTTGTTTAATCTAAATAATTCTTAAATTTTAAACAGCGGTTATATTACGGATCCTCAAGGAACGTCTAAATACATCGTAAACTTTATCTGTATAAACAAATTGCTTTCGATTATATAGTTAACAAAAATAATTATTTTTTGAGTCCCATACCATAGTAGCTTTTTTAAAAAAAGTTTCGTAATCAACGATTTTAAATATCTATTGCATGAGTTAGAATTTGATAAACGATGTGAATAAAAAATTACCTAGTTAATTGTTATTTGTGTATAACCAAAGTATTGATTTTATATTTTTATTCGAAATATCGTTTATTATTGTCGATTGCCAATCAACTGCCCTATAAGAAAAGTTTTTGTATTTGTCTCATATTTTCTAAGCATCTTTAAAATGATTTTTAGATGCAGTATTTGAAATATCTTTTAATCAATGCACATTACTAATTTGTCATCTACATTCAACGGGTATAAAATCTTTATGATCATCTTGCTCAGTGTAAATATTAGGACAGTAGTCTTAAATTAAATTCTCTTTCCATTTTGACGTTAAATAATTATGAAGTAATACAACCGCTTTTGTTATATACACAAATTTATTTCTTTAAACTATAATAAGTCTCCTAAAATCCGAAATATGGATGCAGTAGTACCAAAATTCATTCTCAACTGATCATCTGGCAAATGACAATTTGTAGTTAAAAAAATGTATATGCAAATCAACTTAATGTACATGTAAATCAACTGTTGAAAATAATCTAGTTGCATTTCTTAAGCGTGTAAAGTAAGAAGTAGCAAAAATATAGTGCCATGTGTGTTTGTGAGAGTAATGGATTCGGTCTAAAGTCTTTCATGATGAAGTCTTATCCATCTTTAAATCTTTAATACGAACAAGTCACCATCACTCTGCCTACCACTATTTGCTATATCTAATTGTGAGAATTGAAATTTTGCATTCAATTCTCACAATTAGAGCTTGCATAACTTGATGCTCTCTTTCAACAGCACCTAAGCATTGATTTGAACTCTATTTACTCTCAAAGTCGTTTGCTATTTGTTCCCAATGATTTTTAGAAAAGGGTAGGTTTAAGAATTTATTTTTAAAAAGTGATACCCAAATGGATTTGGCTGTTTTACTTTTTATACTTCCAACATTCTCATAAATGTAGATTTTTTTAAAATCAATGGACACACCCAAGACAAGAGTTGTTTTAATATAGTTGGAAATATACAACCATAAAAACAGTTCGTGGTCGAATAACTTTAAATCTTTAACAAAAAAATTATGTTTTTTTTTTTCTATTTGTTAAGATCTTAATATAGTTTTCAAATCATCCAAAATTGCTTTTTATATTTTTCTTAACATTTTCTTCTCGTGTGCAATAAAATTCTCAAATACAATAACTTTTTAAACATAGATTTTCAAAAAAACTAATAGCTGCCGTAATTGTTGTTGATAGCAAAAATATTAACGCAAAATTTGTTTACGTAGAAAAAAAAAACGGAGTTTTGTCAAGACGAAAAGATTTGTGTTACGCATTTTTTTTGCCTTGTATAAAACGGCTATTAATGCCCTCTGTTCGTTTTTTTTAATCTTCTATAAAAGTGCAATTTAGTTTTAGAAAGTGAGTAGAACCAATGAAACTCTAATCTTCAAAATTTTTTTCCCGTTCTGAAAATTAAACATAAGAAAAGTAAAGGCTTTTGCTTTTGCTATCCCGGTGGGAAGCGAGCTAGCGATTAGCTAGCGACTAGCTAGCTTTATAGCGATTTTCGAGCGATTTTTTTTTTCTTATTTAATTCTTTGCCTAAGTCTTTAACATCATTAAAAATTTCATTTTTAGTGTTGGATCTATTATAATTATGAAAATAATTGAATTTTAAACATTGCGATATTGTAACGATACATCGCTAGCTATATATCGCAGTTTTTTAGTCAGCGATTTTAATACGATATGACGCTAGCTACATATTGCATTTGTTTAGCTGGCAACTAGATAACGATATACCTATAGCTATTCGATAACTACATATCGCAGCTTCTTAGCTATCGATTTAATTACGATTAATCGCTAGTTACGTATCGTAGCTTTGTAGCTAGCTACAAGATAGCCACAAATCGATAGCTAGTTGATAGCTACATATCGCATTTTTTTAGACAGCGATTTTATTACGATTTATCGCTAGTTACATATCGCAGCTTTGTAGCTAGCGAAAAGGTAGCCACAAATCGATAGCTACTTGCTAGCTATATAATGCAGTTTTATTGACAACGATTTTGTTACGATTTATCGCTAGTTTCATATTTATAAACCTTTTTAGCTAGCTACAAGGTCGCCATAAATAATGCTAATAATAATTGAACTTTAAAAGTAAAGATTTTATTACGATATGTCGACAGCTACACATCACAGCTTTTTAGCAATCGATTTGAATGCAAAATGTCGATAGCTGCATATAAATTCTTTAGCTACAAATTAGGGCACGAAATTTCTTTAGTTTTTTTTTTTCAAATTTTGCACGAAAATTCTTTAGCTACAAATTAGGGCTTATAAGCTATCTATATTTTAGCACGAAATGTCGATAGTTTTTTAAACAGTTGTAGTTTATGCGCACTGTTACAGACGTATGGAAATAAAATTTTGGTCAGATAGTAGATGAGCGTAGTAAGTTTTAACTATAAATAATAATATTTAAGTAAAAGATTAACTATGAATAATAATATTTGTATGAATAATAATTAGTAAAGATTAACTATGAATAATAATATTGTGATTAGTAAATTAAAAACATCGATGGTGTTTTTAATTTACTAAATAAAATATTATTATTTATAATTAAATTAGATGGTGTTTTTAATTTAGTAAATACAATCCCGTCATATATATATAAATATATATATATATATATATATATATATATATTATATATATATATATATATATATATATATATATATATATATATATATATATAAATATATATATATATATATATATATTTATATATATATATATATATATATATATATATATAATATATATATATATATATATATATATATATATATATATATATATATATATGTATATAATTTTAATGCAAGACCGGAATTTTTTTAATTATTTTTATTCTATTATTTGATAGACTGACTGCCCAAACCAAACCTTCAGTCGATGTAGCAGCACTCCTTTGCGAGTCAGGCTATTTGTCAGTCAGGCTATAAGGTAGTCGATATAGCAACACTCGCACATGATTTACACTAAAAAAAATAAAAACAAAAACATTTTATTTAAAAAATAAAATAAAAATATTGTTTATATTTTTAAAAGCATTCTTAATGTTTTTAAAAACATTCTGGTCAGTTAAATTTGCATTTTTGCGGTTTTTTTAAAAAATAATTAAGTTAATGGTTTTAACTTTATGACAACACGGAAATGTTAGATAAATGTCAAAAGTAATTAAAAGTGACGTAACTTGTTGTCAAAAGAATCATTTTTAACCTTCCGTACTCTCAAAGCCAACAATTTATAGAACTCTCGCTCTCGCTTGCTCTCTCTCTCTCTCTCTCTCTCTCTCTCTCTCTCTCTCTCTCTCTCTCACTATATATATATATATATATATATATATATATATATATATATATATATATATATATATATATATATATATATATATATATATATATATATATATATATATATATATATATATATATATATATATATATATATATATATATATATATATATATATATATATACATATATATATATATAGAGAGAGAGAGAGAGAGAGAGATGACGTAACTTGTTGTCAAAATGATTCTTTTGACAACAAGTTACGTCACTTTTAATTACTTTTGACATTCATCTAACATTTCCGTGTTGTCATAAAGTTAAAACCATTAATTTAATTATTTTTTAAAAAAACCGCAAAAATGCAAATTTAATTGACCAGAATGTTTTTAAAAACATTAAGAATGTTTTTAAAAATATAAACAATATTTTTTTTTTATTTTTTAAATAAAATGTTTTTGTTTTTATTTTTTTTAGTGTAAATCATGTGCGAGTGTTGCTATATCGACTACCTTATAGCCTGACTGACAAATAGCCTGACTCGCAAAGGAGTGCTGCTACATCGACTGAAGGTTTGGTTTGGGCAGTCAGTCTATCAAATAATAGAATAAAAATAATTAAAAAAATTCCGGTCTTGCATTAAAATTATATACATATATATATTATATATATATATATATATATATATATATATATATATAATATATATATATATATATATATATATATATATATATATATATATATAAATATACATATATATATATATATATATATATATATATATATATATATATATATATATAATATATATATATATATATGTATATATATTTATATATATATATATATATATATATATATATATATATACATATATATATATATA